CGAGGTCTCGCCAAGTTCCCGGTTGATCTCAAACCCGTGGGCTCAGGCAATCCACTCATCTCGGCCTCCCAAAGTGCTGGGATTACAGGCTGAGCCACCGAGCCTGGCCTATTTTTTAAAAATTTTTTGTAGAGACAGGGTCTTGCTATGTTGCCCAGGCTAGTCTTGAACTGCTGACCTCAGGCGATTATCTACCTCAGCTCCCAAAACACTGAGATTACAGGCATGAGCCACCACACCACACTAACCAAATTCTTTTTTTTTTTTTTTTTTTGAGTTGGAGTTTCACTCCGTCACCCAGATTTGAGTGCAGTGGCTGCTCCCAGCCACTGCAGCCTCGACCTGCCAGGCTCCGGCGTTCCTTCCGCCTCAGCCTTCCAAGTAGCCGGAATTACAGGCGTGGGCTACCACGCCCGGCTGATTTTTGATTTATTATAGAGATGAGGGCTCTCCAAGTTGCCCAGGCAAGTCTCGAACCCGCGGGCTCAGGCAATCCACTCACCTCAGCCTCCCAAGGCGCAGGATTACAGAATGAGCCACCGAGCCGGCTTAGCCAAATTCTTATACACTGCTCGTGAGAATATATAATGGCCCAATCACTTTGGAAAACAGTCTGACAGTTCCCTAAAAGATTAAATTATATTCCTAGGTATACAATCAAAAGAAATGAAAGCATATTCCATACAAATACTAGCACATGAATATTCACAGAAAGCTTGTTTCAAGTGCCAAAAACTGGAATCAAAAGTCTCTCAAAAGCGACTAGCTAAACAATCTGTGGTATATACATACATGTAATGAAAAATTATTCAGCAATACAAAGGAATAAACTATTGATGCATGCAACAATATGGGGGACTCTGAAAATAATTTATGCTGAGTAAAAGAAGTTGGACAAATAAGACTACATACTGTATGATTCCATTTATATACAATTCTAGAAAATTCAAATTAATCTATAGCAACATTAAGCAGATCAGTGCCATCCTAGGGACTGGTAAAAAGGAGGGTTGACAGAGGGACATGAGAAATCTTTTAGCAATGACAAATTTGTCATTATCTTGTTTTTGGTGATAGTTTCACAGATGTATACATATGTCAAAACTTAACAAATTGTGCACTTTAAATGTGCAGTTATTGTATGTCAGTTATGCCACAATGAAGCTACTGAAAATAAAACTGATACTGGCAAAGCTTGGTAAATCCTACATTGGGTGAAATAATTTTGAAATGATAATAAATGGTCTCAAGTAAATGTCAAGATAATATGTTAAATAGTCAAGACTTTTTTAAAATAAATCTAACCCAAACTCCATAGCTACAAAGATGTATTCTGCTACAGTTTTATCTAACCCTGAGATAATACACGAGAAGAAAAGATTTCATACAGTCAAGGAATAAATCCTCTAACATTTATTTAGCAAAGAAAATGGAAAACTCTTCTGTAAAGATCCAAATAGTAATTTTACATTTTACAGGTCATATTGCCTCTGTCACAACTCTTGACTCTGTGGTTGTAGCAGGAAATATATTTAAACTCATGTTTAAAAGAATGAGAGTGGTTATACTCCAACAAAATTTTATTTATAAAATCAAGACCCGGTATGGCAGTTCTTGCCTGTAATCCCAGCAATTTGGGAGGCCAAGGTGGGAGGATCACTTGAGATGCCCAGAGTTCAAGATCAGTCTGGGTAACATAGCAAGACCTTGTCTCAACAAAAAAATTAAAAAATTATCTGGTGTGGTGGCACACACTTCTAGTCCAAGCTACTCAGGAGGCTGAGGCAGGTGGATCACCTGAGCCCAGGAGGTTAAGACTGCAGTAAGCCATGATCGTGACACATGACAAAGTGAGACCATGACTTAAAAAATAAAATAAGATGATTATAAAAGAGTCAGCAAAAGAAGGTATGGAAAAAGTAAAAGAGCAATGGAGGAAGGACAGAAAGAAGACCTTATCCACTACTGTACTAGAAGTAACCAAGAAAGAATGGGCTCTAACATACACCTTTGGGGGGAAAAGACAGAAATAGCTGTTGCTGCTGAGAAAGAAGAGTTGTAAAAATTTGAAATTTTATCTGAAGAAATAAAATAATTTATAGCAATGTCAGTGTAGCTGACTTAAGATCATGAATTTATACAAGTTTCAACACACACAGACAGTTACATGATTTGTCCCCAACAGCTAAGATTTAATTGAGAGTGTACCTACCTAGACTGAACAAGAATTCTCAAGAGCAGCTATCACAGGATGAATGCAAAAGGGAGCTTTCATTAGAAACCAGTTCCAGACAACAACCAGCCTAGGAAGCAAGTAAAAAATGGCAGATACAAACACAAAGATCAAGGGACAAAAGTTTTCCAACGGCTGAAGAACACTGGAAAAGGTGACAATGAAAAAAAAGAAGGAAAAACATGGTTGTGATGAAAGAGTTTAAGACTTCTGATGTGGAAACATTCCAGTGCTGAAAAGGTCTAGATTTTTAAAACAAGAATGGAAAACGTATATAGAATGGCAGTAAGGGTCAGTGAAGTTTAGGAATAAAAAAAATTGCAAGACATGGATGTTAAGATCAGTTAGCCACAAGGAAGGACAGTGAAGTTACAGAGACCTGATGAAACTGAGAAAAGACTGAACCAGGAGCTCATACACTAAAACTAGAAGTCTGAAGCAGAGTTTCATTGCCTGGACTTTGAATAGAATAAAAATACTTCTTATAAATATTTTTCTTGCTAATATTCTTACTAATATTTAAATGTCTATGTTACTAACTTGCAACCTTTATTTTAATAAAAAGTAGAAAAATCCCGTACTAAATTATAAAACACACTGAGGTACAGCCACATAAATGCTAACAAATAAAGTTATATAATTAGATACTCTGGCATACACACATACTAAAAAACAACTGCCAATTCTTTACATAAACCTTTTAACTTTTTCTGAAATAGATATGAAATGTGTACAAAAAGAAATAATTTAATAAGTATTTATAAGCCCAGTTTGTTTTGTGTTAATATGCCTATCATATGACTCAGTCATCACATTCCTAGGTATATACTCAAAATAAATGAAAACATATGTACACACAAATAGTTTTACATACATGTTTACAGCAAGTTTCTTGAAATTTTTCAAAGTAACAAGTATTAGAAACTAGTGAGGGAACGACAGACTATTATGCAGTCATAAAGAAGGACAAACATATGGACCTCGCAGCAACTTGGATGGATTTAGAGTCTATCATACTCAGTGACCTATCACAGAAACAAAGAGCAGAGTACCATATGTTCTCACTCATAAGCCGACCTTGAACAATTATCATAATACTATAAGTAAGGGATTGGCAATAGTGGGAAACTGCCAGGGGAGGAGGTGTGGGGTTGGCAGTTGAGGGAAACTGCCAGGGAAAGGGAGGGCACAACCCATCAACAAGGGTACCTGTGTAATGAACATTTATATACCTAACCCTGAACTGTACTCCACATCTTTAAAATAAAAAATTTAAAAGTAAAATAAAAAAAGAAAGAAACTAGTGAGGGAATATAAAGAATACTTTCTGTTTGGTGGTAAAACTATAAATAAACTACAAATTCCAGACTGTGCAATATAGCGAGACCCTATCTCTACAAAAAAAATTAAAACATAAATTAGCCAGGCATGGCAGCACATGCCCGTAGTCCCACCTACACAAGAGGCTGAGGCAGGAGGATCACATCAGCTCAGCTCAGGAATTTGAGACCACAATGAGCTGTGTTCACACCACTGCACCACAATATGGGCAAAAAAGCGAGACCCTATCTCAAAAAATAATAATAATAAAAAGACTAATTATAAATAAATGACTTTATCCCTTGCAATGGTTGACTTTATATGTCAACTGGGCTAGGTCACATATCCACATATTTGATCAAATGTTATTCTAGATGCTTCTTTGAAAGTATTGGATAAGATTAACATTTTTAATCAGCAGATTTTGAATAAAGTAGATTACCTTCCATAATGTGCCTGGGCCTAATTCAATCAGTTAAAGGTTTTAACAGAAAAATGATTGATCATCTTAGAGAAAGAAAATTCAGTCAAGCAGACTGCCTTTGGACTCTCATAAATCTCTCTCTCTCTCATGCACACACATGTCCTATTCTGTTTCTCTTGAAGAATTCTGAAAATACATCCCTTAAGTATAACAAAATCACTTTTTATGTAGAGAGGGAGCACTGAAAGATATCAAAAGAAGAATTTTTAATAGAGGACTGACGTGGGGTATTTATTATAACTAGATGGTTAAATTAGTTATCGTAGCTAATCAACCATCCAGCAAAGTGGTTGTTACACTTTTGTGGCACAGAAACCTTTTCATTAAATAAAACATGTTAAACTTCCTCATATGTAAAACCCAGGTATTCTGTTTTTGTGTTGATGATTGTTATGAACTAAATGTTTGAGTACCCCAAAATTCGTATGTTGAAGACTTATCATTAACCTTTGGAGATAGAGCCTCTAAGAAAATAATTACAGATAAAGGAAGTCATAAGGGTGGGGCTCTGATCCAACAGGATTAGTGTCCTTATAAGAAAAGAAACGGGGGAGGGGGGAGAAAAAAATGAAAAGATACTAAAAAGCTCTCCCTCTCCTTCACTCTCCCTTACTTTCTCCCTCCTTCCCTCCCTCCCTCTCTCAATGGATCACAATTGAATACTACTATTCTAGGACCTAAAGATAATTCTGCTGAAGAATTTAACAATACAATAGCTCTATAAGAGCACTCACCATACAAAATACTAGAATGATTTATTTGTCTTCACAAATAAGTAGGAATATAACCTCTCTAACTAAAGATTTATTCAAAAACATAATGCATGACATAAATAGATCTTAAATCTTAACTCTTTCCATGTTATACTCACTTCATAATATAAGATCAAACAATACTTTCCAACATTTCCAAACCAATGCCTTATATGAAACATATGAAAACTCTTGATATATTAACTCTTACCGTAACCCATTCCTTTGGTCAAAAGCAGGAATCATAGAGCTAGGATGTTCTGACATTAATGCAACAAGCAGCTGTAGGACATCCATTAGATTGTCATCCTACAATCATTTTAGAAATGTAAAAATAAAAATAAGGGGAAAAGTTTAGTTGAATATTGAATACTTTTAAAACAGAAATTTCAGCTTTAGAAAAGTAAGTAGACATAGCTTCATTATATACTTGTTTTTAACAAGTTACATTCTTTATACACATATACCTCTATAACTCAAAATACAAATCAAATAGTCAATTTCTTAATCAAAGAAATAAAATACTTTTTACATTATACTGTATCAAGATTTTCTAAATCATATTCTATGGAAATGGTAGATCTGACTTGCAGACTTATATATCAAGTAATTAAGAGGAGGGAGAAATCCTAAATTGTTCCTTTTTATTGCACCAAAACGTATTAGAGCCTTTAAAATGCTAATAGATGCTGTGAATCTGGTGGTAGTGGTGGGTCAACATATTACATATGCTTTCCTAAACTTTATTTGACCTGGAATATTTTGTCTACTGTGTCTCTCAAGAAACTAGTCTTAAAAGAACACTTTCTGGGAAATGATATGTAGACAGTTCTCAATCACAGTATTATCTGTTGTCAGTATTTAAAATAATCAATAAATGTTAAATGAGTCAACATACCACTATATGTGGTACGATTTGATAACATTTACAGACTATCAGCATAGGAACATAAACGCGTTCTAGATCCCAAAAAAGTTGTCATGAAAATCATTCACAGGCTTAGTTGGATATTCTAGTATGTGTGTATATTATCAGGGCCAACTTGGACAACACTGGCCCAAAAAGAAAAAGGAAATATCTATCAGTTTGTTAACTTGGTTGCCCTGCTTCTAGTTTTTGCTCGCTGCTTTAGAATTTTCACTATAAAAGCTATTTGTACACTTATGTTTCAGTTTTTAAATAGATGACATAGATATAGGGCATTGAATCTTTGCAAAAGTTCTATTTGGAGGACCTGAATGATCTCCGAAAACAGAGGATCACTGTTTATCTCCTATAAGGTACTTCATTTGGTTCCTTAGGTTTTATAAAAAACAAAATCACATATAATAATAGACTGCTATGAAATTCAGTTGAAAACTTTTCAGCTATTATTTTCAGTCAGAAAAATCTTAAGAAACAGAATACCCTACTCAAGAGAAAAAAATCAGAATTATTAATGATTTTGAGTTAAATATGATCCAATCAAGAAATTTAGGTCATTCTTCTATGTCCAAATTAACAAAGAGTGGTCCAACTATTACCTTTTGCTTATTAGTAACTAAAGAAGGCACTATTCCATACTAAAACATATGTATTAATTCACAAGACATGAATTATACTATAGCAATGTCAATTATCATTCAAAATGCTGTGAGTTATAATGATAGCCCATCAATTCCTAAATTTTACTTATTTATATCTTAATTTAATCAGATTATTTAGTTAGGTTACAACAGGCACATAATGTATTTCCCAGGTGATAAGAAATAAACAGATATTCCAGTCCATTTAACATTCAACCTCCCTTTCAACCACATAATTTTAAATCCCATTACAAATGAATTTTTTTTTTTGAGTTGAAGTCTCACTCTGTCGCCCAGGCTAGGAGTGCAGTGGCACACTCACGGCCTCCCCAGCATCAACCTGCTGGGCTCTGACAATCCTTCCTCCTCAGCATTCCATGTAGCCAGAACTACAGGTGTGCATTACCATGCCCAGCTAATTTTTTACTTTTTGTAGAGATGAGGTCTTGCCAAGTTGCCCAGCTGGTCTTGAAATCACAGGCTCAGGCAATCCACTCGCCTAGGCCTCCCAAAGTGCTAGGATTAAAGGCTGAGCCATCAAGCCCGGCCTCAAATGAGTTGTTTAACTTAATATTTGAATACACAAAGCCAGCAGGAAGATTATGCTATAAATTTTTAAAATCCAATTATTTTCAGTCATTTTCATGATCTATTTTTCATTTTTTACACTGGTTCCTAGAAATACAATGAAAGTTGCTTTGGCCTACTTTACTACTAATTCAATAAAATCTAATTTTAATACTTTTTAAGCCTTTCATGATTATTGTCAAGAGCCATCTTATGGTAATAAAGGATATTTAAATGAAGAGTGTCAGGATTTAGTTCCTAAATAGGCACATTTACTCCCCATTACAGTTATATAATTAGAGAAGATATCCTTAACTTTTACTTTTAAAAAAATCTCAACCTCACTAATCATCAGGGAGATGCAAATCAAAACCACACTGAGATACCACCTAACTCCAGTCAGAATGGCAATTATCAACAACTCAAAAAATAACAGCTGCTGGAGAGGGTGTGGTGAAAAGGGAACACTTCTACACTGTTGGTGGGAGTGTAAACTAGTGCAACCTCTGTGGAAAGCAGTGTGGCGATTCCTAAAAGCTCTAAAAATTGACCTTCCATATGACCCTGCAATCCCCCTACTGGGAATATACCCTGAAGACCTCAAATCACTCTATAAAAAAGATACCTGCACACATATGTTTATCGCAGCGTTGTTCACAATAGCAAGAACCTGGAAACAACCATGCTGCCCATCAAAAGAGGACTGGATTAAAAAAATGTGGTACATATACACGATGGAATACTACGCAGCCATAATAAAGAACAAAATCATGAATTTCGCTGCAACCTGGATGGAACTAGAGTCTATAATACTGAGTGACCTCTCACAAAAACAAAGAGCTGAATATCGCATGTTCTCACTCATATAATGGACCTTGAACATCCAATGAAATACTATAAGAAAATGACTGATGGTACTGGGAAACTATGGGGGGGAGGGGGATGGGATTAACAGTAGCAAATATCTATCGGGGGATGGGAAAACACCTCTTATCAACAGGGTGCCTGAATGAAACGTAATTGTACACCTAACCCTTAACTGTACCCCACAAAACCATAATTAAAAATACTGATTAATGAAAAAAAAAAGAAAACTAATATTTCATAAATTCCTGGTTACTATGGTGTATTATCTTGATGTTGTTCCTGTAATTCTATAAATATAAAAATTGTAACTTTCTATGTAACTTTAGTAT